TTTAGTAGAGACGGGGTTTCACCATGTTGACCAGGATGGTCTCGATCTCTTGACCTCGTGATCCACCCGCCTCGGCCTCCCAAAGTGCTGGGATTACAGGCTTGAGCCACCGCACCCAGCCTTGAAATTATTTTTTCCAAATAAATATGCTGCCTTTTATGTGGTTAAAAAATAAAATAAAATAAAAATAAATACATAAATAAAATATATTCTCTAAGGCAGCAGGTTCCCAACCTTTTTGGCACCAGGGACCAGTTTCATGGAAGACAAGTTTTACACAGATGGGCTGGGGATTGAGGGGTGTGGTTTGGGGATAAAATTGTTCCAGGTCAGATAATCAGGTATTAGATTCTCATAAGAAGCGTGCAAGACTCTGAGCTTTCCCCTACATCTACAGGGGTTCTCCCTCTGTTTCTAACAGTCAAATGTCTTAGGAATCGGCTAACTCTTTCCCCTCAACGTCTCAGCAAGGATTTCTTAGGTGGCATACTTGTTACTTCTGACCGCTTTTATTTGGATTTCTGAGTCAAGGCAAGCCTAACAGTCTACAAGCTTCCAAGAATGCAACTCTCATCTGATTAGACCCCATAAGAATGAGTTCATTTTGGAACCTTGATTGAGGCCAGCTAACTCGATTATGCTTTCATCCTTGGCCTCCCAAGGATACAGAGCATCTTGGATACACCTCCCAAAATACAGCACTCATCTGTACCTCTGTAATATTCCATGATTCATGATTTATGTTCCTTGACCCAAACTCCTAATGTTCTTTCTTCTTCCACTGTGCTCTTAGGAACTTATGTACTTATTAACAGATTTCCCTGCATCTTCAAATCTCTCACAAAATAATCCACTGATAGCTTTCACTAGTGGTCAGGGGTTCTTAAACTGAGATCTATGTTGTCCAGGGGAACATTATGGGGAGTCTGCGTACTTTTAGATAGAAAATAAATTACATGTTTATTTTTACCAAACTCTAACTGGAATTCACTAGTTCCTTCAATTGTGAATGCAGGCCAAAAACCACAGCATTAGTAGTACCTATAACTGGTATCAATACAAAACACAGTTATATTTATAAAACATTACAGTTTGCTGCTCACCAAGATATTCATGCTCATCATTACACTGCAATTACTTAAGTAGGCCTACTGCTATGTCTTTAAGGTGTTAATAAAGCAGCACCTAAATGTATGACAAACTTAGGAGTACTTTTAAAACACATTTCAATGTAATTGGTTTCCTCTGTGATCCGCTCTGTTATACCTTTAGAAATACTATACCAGGAAGGGTCCATAGGCTTCAACCTACATCCACAGCACACACCCTGCAACCTAACCATTTATCTCCTCCCTGCAGCCCTGTAGCCTTTTGGAATTAAAAAAAAAAAAAAAAAAAAAAGCTACTTGTTTTCTAAAGCCTGACATTCTACAAGATTGGTAAACAGAGGGAGAAGGCAGCAACATTTTCCTAGTTCCTCCCTATTGCCTTTAAATGTTCTTCCTACATCCCAGCCCCTGGTTTATTTCAGTATCCATGAGAACAACACTCATTCTGATATGCTGTAGTCACAGGGCCCCAGATCCCAACTCCAGTAAATCTTCATCTCTGTTCCATTACAGCTAACAGCCCAAACCCTATCCCTCAGAAGTGTACTACCTCTGCAAACCTGGAGCCTCTGCCATAGCCAACCACAATCTCCCTTTCTTCTCTCGCTCCCTAAATCTTGTCATACCTGCACCTTACCCACAGTAACACTAGCAGTCCTTTCCAGCTTTTCCCCAAAGCATCTGAAACTTTAAGTTTTTACTTTCTTTCCAAACTAGCTCTTGTCCCATCAAAGTTAACCCTTCATCTTGTGATCCAGATTCAGATTTTCCTGCCTCTTCTGGGACCTTGCTCCACTCCACCAATAATCATCACTTTCATATTTATTAACTCCTAGCAGATAAGCGTGCTGGGGAGACAATGACAGACAGCACGGACACAGTCCACTCTCATGAAACTTAAGAATTCAGACAAATTCCAAGAGTCCTTTGGCCCAGGGTAGAGGCAGCTCTAAAGGCCCCATTTCTCACCATTGGACCTAAACATCATCTCTTCAGCATATGAATAAATTCAAGTCTTACTATCTTCTAATGTATATATATATAATGTGTGTGCATATTTTTTCATCGATTCATAATCCCTCGAATCCCTTTTGACTGTCACCCTTGTCTGTCCTTCCCAAGCTCTTTCAATTAATAATCAAGGGCTTGTTGTTCCTCAAGCTTCTGCTCTCAGCTTGTTCCTCTCTTCGCTATGAATTATATCATCTCACCCAATTGCTTCAATCATTTCTCTATTGGCAAAACCTAAACTTAAAAACCTAAAGTCAAATCTCTCTCCTTCCAAATCCATGTACCTTTGCACCCAATTAAAAGGCACTTTCACTTGAGTAAACTGAACATTTCCAACACAATGCATTAACTACCCACACCTGCTCCTCAATCAAACGTCTCCTTATTCTCCACATCCAGATGAACCTACTTCCTAACTACCTCTGTGTTGTCTGACCTTTGCCTCCAGGTCTCACAATTGCTCACCTGAATTGCTGCAAAAGGCTCCTAACTGCTCTTTCACATATTTAGGCTTGCCTCTGGTAAATTATTTCTCTACATTGGCAAAACGATCTTTCTAAAAGACTAATCCTTCTTTAAGGGGAGGCTATATGACATAGTAGAAAGACAGAAGCTGTGAGAGTCCAACTAACCTGGCTCCAGCCTGGAGAAAATTAACCTTCCCAAACCCATTTCCTCATGTGAAAAATGGGTATAATACAATCCCACCTATCCAAGTGTGTAGATACTATAACACACACTAGACACTTAATAGTTGGTAGCTAACATTATTCCTTTGAGATAAAATTCAAACTTCTTGATATGACAGACAAGGGTCTTCATGAACCTGCCTTACTCTTCTGCCTCAGTTCTCACCGTTCACCAACCTGCACCCTCAACTTCAGCCACTTTGATTGGGACATATTATCTCAGGACTTGGTCAGTTATAAGCAGCTGCCTTCTCTAAGAGGAATGTTGCCTTTAATCCTATCCTTCTTCATACAACTCACTCCTACTCAATTTGTCACCTTCCCATTCCCAGATGGCTTTAGGCAGCCTACCCAGCACTCCCATCACATTCTACTCAAACGATCTGGTTATCTACTGATCTCCTCGACTTGGATAGGCGCTCTCCAGCAGGACTGTGTCCTTTGTATCTGTGTTTAATTCCTGGCACATAGCAGGTACTCAATACATGGCTAGTAACAGAAAACAAAACATGCAAGGTGACAGAAAACCCAATTACACTGATTTGATCACACCGTATACATCTATCAAAATATCACATATACCCAAAAAGTATGTACAACTATGATATATTTATTTTTTTTTAAAACTTCAAAAAGGCAAGGGGACATAACATGCACAGATTTTTAAAAACACATCTATAAGCTGGCTATATAGAGAGAGACGCCTTCAATTGGCTTGTGTTCAGAATTTTCCATCTCTACAAGACAATTTTTACCAACAAATATTGAAATAACATTACAAGGACCCAATAACTGACCTACAATACTAGAAATAACAAGGACCCAATACTGACCTACAATACTAAAAATACACTTTTTTTTAAAGACAGGTTCTCTGTTGCACAGCCTCGAGTGTAGCAGTGAGATCAGGCCCACTGCAGACTTGACCTCCAGGGCTCAAGCAATTCTCCCACCGCAGCATCCAAGTAGCTTGGACTATAGACACGCCACACCCACCTCATTTTTTGTATTTTTTGTAGAGATGGGGTTTCACCATGTTGCCCAGGCTGGACTTGAACTCCTGGGTTCCAGTGATCCACATGCCTTGGCCTCCCAAAATGCCAGAATTATAGGTGTGAGCCACCGCACCCAGACTAATTGAATATAACTTTCCTCATTCTTAAAGAAATCAATGCATTCTAAGAGATTGATATCAAACCAGCATAACTATAAACAGCCTCTAAATTATCTAATGGAGGACAATTATGCTTAAACCACCCATTGAGGCCTGTTACAGGAGCTCATTCCTGTAATCTCAAGTCTTTGGGGAGGTCAAGGTGAGAGGATTACTAGAGCCCAGGAATCCGAGACCAGCCTCGGCAACATAAGGAGACCCCATCTCTATAAAAAAATTTTTAAAAATTAGACAGGCATGGTGGTGCACACCTGTAGTCCCAGCTACTCAGGAGGCTGAAATCAGAGGGTCAATTGAGCCCAGGAGTTTGACGCTGCAAGAAGCCATGATCACACCACTGCATTCTCACCTGGGTAACACAGTAAGACCATCTCAATATAATAAAAATTAAAAAACAAAACAAAAAAAACAAAGAACCACCCATTGATAAGTAGATAATAAACTGGCATGGCAAGTTTCTGAAAGTTGCAGCTATAAATAAATACTATGCTTTACTCACCAGCTTCACGTAATCTGTTCCCTTCTGCTCTGGTCCGGTTAGTTCTTTCACTTCCAGCAAGATCTACCAAGGACAACTGACTTACAGTGATTTGTTCTTTTTCCTAAAAAGATCACAAAGCCAATAACTTAAAATGGGTGATAACTGGTTTACAATGTTCTTTAAATAGATTCCTATCAACAAGTCTTAATAAACATTTGCATAATACAAAATGCACAGGACAGGCAAAGGATACATATTTTAGGGGAGAGTTTGCTAAGACTATGATAAATATGACATTAATGATTACTTGTTCAATTGGCTGGTCTTCCTTCTGCATCAGACTGTAGGCTCCCTGAGAGCAGGGACTCTGTGTTTTACTACCTTATCACCAGCATGCTGCACAGTGCCTACCACTCAGTAGGAACTCAGCAGATATTTGCTGAATAAAAGTCTAGAATAGAACTACCCTAAATTCTTCTATAATCAGATATTTAATAATCTTATAATAACCTAATATCATAATGCTATAATTTTTTATTTTTTGAGAAGGAGTGCAGTGGCACCATCTCCACTCACTGCAACCTCCTCCTCCTGGGTTCAAGCGATTCTCTTGCCTCAGACTTCCAAGTAACTAGGACTACAGGCGTGCGCCACCACGCCCAGCTCATTTTTTTTGTGTATTTTTAGTAGAGATAGGGTTTCACGATATGGGCCAGGCTGCTTTCGAACTCCTGACTTCAGGTGATCCGTCCTCCTTCGGCTCCCAAAGTGCTGGGGTTACGCGTGTGAGCCACCGCACCCAGCAGATAATTCTTATAAAAAGAAGTGAAAATCAAGAGGTACCGAACTGATGCTGTAGTATTAAATGTGTGTCGATGGAAATCAGGTGTATATGAAAGGCTGACTTATAACCATTTCCTAGCTAACAATTATTGAGTGCTGACTATAAGCTAAGCACTGGACAAGGAACTTTACACACAGTACCTCCTTTAATTCTCACAACCTTATAAGGAAGTTTTATCAAGCTAGTTAGTAAATAAATAGAAATCTGCATTCAAATTGGGGGGGTCTTCAATGCCATTCCTGTCACTGAATAAAAAATTACACTTTAATGGATTAAAGTTATTAGATGATGTAAACTCAGACTCAAATGCTGTTACTAATTAACATGAGCCTTGTAGTGTGGCAGGCCTGGCAGTAAATAGTGCTCTGCATATGGGAGACTCTATTGGCCTATCAGCCAAGAAATGAACAACTTAGAACACTGGCCACTTCCTGAATTATACCTGCCCTGAAAAATTAATTACTGACATTGTAAAACCATTAGCTGAATTTCCACTTACAGAATGAGTCATCAGAGAGAAAACAATCAGTCTTATTCTATCACTCTACTAAAGAGATTTTTAAAGATTTGCAAACATTTTTCACAGCAAAATTCAAGCTTTAAGATTTAATATCCATTTCCCAAAACTATAATAAAGGGAAAAAAAAATTTCAATGTCATCACCTACACAGTCATCCCTTGGTATTCTCAAGGGATTAGTTGTAGGCGCTCCTACGGATACAAAATTTCACAGATACCAAATTCCATGGATGCTCAAGTCCCTTACATAAAATGGCATAGTATTTGCATATAACCTATGCACATCTTCCCATACACTTTTTAAGATTTTATTTTTTTAACTTAAAATTTTTATCCTCATTTTATTTTTTGCAAAGACAGAGTCTTGTTTTGTTGCCTGGACTGATGTCAAACTTCTGGCCTCAAGTGATCCTCCTGCCTTGGCCTCCCAAAGTGCTGGGATTATAGACATAAGCCACACACCCAGCCCTCCCGTATACTTTAAATCACATTTAGAATACGTATAATATCTAATACAATGCAAACACTATGTAACAAGTTGTTATACTGTATTGTTTAAGGAATAATGACCAATAAAAGTCTGTACATGGTCAGTACAAATGCAGGATTTTCGAATATTTTCGATCCGCCTCGGTTCAATCTATAGATGTGGAACCCACACATACAGAAAACCAACTGTATATTTATTCTAGAGCAATTTTCATTGCAATAAAACCTCCCTAAATTAACT